CCCCCCCCCCCCCCCCCCCCCCCGAAAAAAGCATCTTGCATTTTAAGGGCCTGATCATTCAAGGGGCTGAACACCTTTATCTCTGAGTGAAATCCATAGAAGTTTAGGCTGCTCGGCATCTGACGTGATCGGGTCCAACCCATGAAATCGTTACTCCCATGAGTGGTCCAAATGAAGAGAATGGAATACTTGAGTAAAAGTTACTCACAAGTCAGAGTTTGTAGGATCAACTCAAAGCAAATGCAATATACAGGAAAACAGTTTCCATGCAAAAATTGATCCTACAAATTTCTTATTTGTGTGAGTTACTTTTGAAAGAAAAGGAGGAGGGTGCTTGGCACTTCAAACCACACAAGTATGTTCTAACTATAGGTGAAAGAGGTAATGATGCTATAGGTCTCATACTTGGTTTGCTAAATTAAACGGAATAACACTTTTCGTTTGAGAGTTTGCAAGGGGTCTGGAAGTCTCTCTCTCCTTTGCAGAAGTTCCTCCTCTCTCAAATTAACTAACAAACAATGTTCCATCCATAAATCATAGAATCCTAGAACTGGAAGGGACCTTGAGAGGTCATCTAGTCCAGTACCCTGCACTTAAGGCAGGACTAAGTATTATCTAGACCATCCGTGACAGGTGTTTGTCCAACCTGCTCTTAAAAATCCCCAATGATGGAGATTCCACAACCTCCCTGGCCAATTTATTCCAGTGCTTAACCACTCTGACAGGAAGTTTTTCCTAATGTCCAACCTAAACCTCCCTTGCTGCAATTTAAGCCTATTGCTTGTTGTCCTATCCTCAGGGGTTAAGAAGAACAATTTTTCTCCCTCCTCCTTGTACTGACCTTTTATGTACCTGAAAACTGTTATCATATCCCCTCTCAGTCTTCTCTTCTCCAGACTAACAAACCCAGTTTTTTCAATCTTCCCTCATAGGTCATGTTTTCTAGACCTTTAATCATTTTTGTTGCTCTTCTCTGGACTTTCTCCAATTTGTCCACATCTTTCCTGAAATGTTGCACCCAGAACTGGACACAGTACTCCAGTTGAGGCCTAATCAGCGCAGAGCAGAGTGGAAGAATTACTTCTCATGTCTTGCTTACAATACTCCTGCTAATATATCCCAGAATGACGTTTGCTTTTTTTGCAACAGTGTTACACTGTTGACTCATATTTAGCTTGTGATCCACTATGACCCCCAGATCCCTTTCCGCAGTACTAAACCGCCCTTGCTGCAATTTAAGCCCATTGCTTCTTGTCCTATCCTCAGAGGTTAAGAAGAAAAAATTTTCTCCCTCCTCCTTGTACCAACCTTTTATGTACCTGAAAACTGTTATCATATCCCCTCTCAGTCTTCTCTTCTCCAGACTAAACAAAACCCAATTTTTTCACTCTTCCCTCAAAGGTCATGTTTTCTAGACCTTTAATCATTTTTGTTGCTCTTCTCTGGACTTTCTCCAATTTGTCCTCATCTTTCCTGAAATGTGGCACCCAGAACTGGACACAATATTCCAGTTGAAGCCTAATCAGTGTGGAGTAGAGCGGAAGAATTACTTCTCGTGTCTTGCTTACAATACTCCTGCTAATACATCCCAGAATTATGTTTGCTTTTTTTGCAACAGTGTTACAATGTTGACTCATATTTAGCTTGTGATCCACTATGACCCCCAGATCCCTTACAGAGTTGTCATTCATATAATGTAACACAAAAACAATGCAACTTTGGGGCCAGATCCTGCTTGCCATAGACATGGGACTCATCTTGTTTAGGCCACTGAGACAGTTTGCCTGACTCAAGTGATCACGACATAACCTTTCCTTTGTGTTGTGCCCTTAATAAAAACTGTCGCCAACGTTTTCAGACTTGGATGTCTGATGTTAATTATGTAAATCCATATTCAGCATTGAAGAAGCCTGAGAAGGTAAGTACTGTGAAGTTAATGGATGCAATGCTCAATGCCTCTGCAAATCAAGCCACTTCAGGTGCCTAAATATGGATGTTGGTTAGATGCTTAACTTTAAAATTCTGAGTTTGAATTTTTTTGCCACTACTGTCTTCTGAACGATACTACACAATATCTCAAAATGCTTTGACATATAATAATACAGTTTAATAATGACAGGAGGCAGAGATATCAAGAGATACTGAACAGACCATTTTCTAATTTGAAATGTTACACACACACATGAGGGGGACAGTCTTGTGTTTTTAACAAAATAACAGAACTACAGTTGCAGTTTAAATAAGTCAGTGCAAAGGCCCTGAAAGTTAGCTTATCCAATCTCCTTTCATTTCCAGAAAAATGAATTCCATAAATTGGCTGGTGCTAAAATATTCCTTAGTGACTGCCTAGCTTGTGACAACTGTGTGACATCAGAAGAAGGTGTCAGGATTTTCCAGCAAAATCAGAAGGAACTCTTTCGCATACTCAACCTTAACAAGGTAAAGTGACAAAGCATGCAGGAATTTGTGTGAGAGGAAGGATGTGAGATAGTGACTAAGCAGTTTCAGTGATAACTAAAAACCCTTGAATAGTATAGCAGTTAAAGCACTACATCAGTGAAAGTAAGATCATGGCTGTAATCTAAATTTTATGAGATGTATTCTGTAAGAAGCTGTAGGGCAAAGCACGATGATTATCTCATAACTTCAATAATAAACTGTAGGGTGTGCAGTTATAGTGTTGTTAAATATGCACTTCTCGAGTGTTGGAGGCATTCTGGTTTTTGTGATCATGGTGAAAGAATGAGAACAATATGCACAAGGTATGAAATTATCAATTATCAAAGACCTGACTGCAAAAATTAGAGAGAATTGTCCCATTAGTTTCTAGTACGTGCTTTAAGGTATGAATGATACCAGGCACATTTGAAAGGTGTGTATTCAGAAGAGTATCTTTTTGCTGTATCTTGGGTTCTTTTTCCTCTTGCAAAATAAATAAAATCATAGCTTCTGTCTGACACGAAGACGGTGCCATTTTATTGTTAAGGTTGGTTCTTTGGTAGCCTTCCTAATACACACAGTACTTGAGTCTGCTGATCTGGACATTGACTTAATGATCTACCACTCCAGACTATTGTACTCTCACCCAGGAGGCAACAGCTACTTTAAAAAATTTATTTTTAATTGAAATTGATACTGCTCTCTCCACCTATTTGATATATGTAAGGATTCCTCCCAGAATATTCTAGCCAGTTTTTAGGACTGGTTTGATTCTATAGCATGATGTGGTTGTATAAGTGTGAGACAGACAAAGATTTAAATGTAGCAGAATCATTGCTTTCTTCTAGTTCTAATTTCTATTAAGTCATCTGGTGCGGGATTTCTCTATTCCTGTTTTATCGCTTGTGTCTTTTAAGTCTTCCACTACCGTTGGTGAGGAACATACACGACAGGCAACATGTCCTAACTAAAACACAAAGTGTACATCTTCACATAGATGACGTCATCCTCACCAGAATGTTACGTTTGCACATCAGTCTTTTTCTTCAACCAAACACACTTGATTGTGCATATATAGCATTGCTGGGTTGGTTTGTTTAGGGTCCAGTCCTGCTGAATGCCCTCAATTCCTGTTGAAGTTAAGGCCACTGGGCATCTCTCAGGATCACATCCTTAGTTTGAAGGATCATATTTAAAATTTCAAATCTCCGTGCTCCTGTAAACCTTAATCTAAACACCTATATTTGTTTCTAAGCTCTTCCCATATTTTGGAAGCATTATGCTTCCCTTAGTTATCAAAATCCTGTAAGTGTTGATTCTCTAACTCTCCTTACTTGCTTAACAAGCCAAGGATAGGGTTGTCCTGGGAGGGATGGAATTCCTTGTGTCATACAACAGCAAACTCTCTAGCTGATTGACTCTCAACATTGACAGAACCAGAAGGAAATTCCATTCCACTCTCTGTAAGAAGGATGGTAGTTGCTTCATTGGGGCTTTCCTGGTATGTTTGTTTAAAGAGTAGGAAATTAGAGGAGTGACTCTTGGGGATGGGGAGGGAATGAGAAGGAGAGGGATCTTATGCTGTTGTAATAATCCACCTGCATGCTTTGTTTATTTTCCAGAAATGTGATACCTCAAAACACAAAGTGTTGGCAGTGTCTATATGCACTCAGTCATTGCCTTATTTTGCTGCTAAATTCAATCTCTGTGTAAACGATGCAGCCAAGAGACTCTGTGGTTTCCTCAAAAGTCTTGGTAAGTTCTGATTTGTTATTACACTGGGAGAACACAGCAGGATTATCTTGGGTTTCTTTCTTCCCTGGCAGAATTTTGCAGCACTCCCCAGTCATAAGAGACTGTTTTGCAATTGTGTTTAAAGGGTATATTCTAAGTTATTTGTTGTGACATAACAGTGCCCATCCCAGAAATGTTCTTGAGCTAGTGCAGTAGGGGTTGGGAAGAGAGTTTAAGGACACTGTTGAGGTATCTTCTGTAGACGTCTTTAAGTCACTTTTGTTTCTAATGACTCTTCAGAAGCTTCAGACTGAAATCTGTTTCTTTAACAAATTGTTTTTCCTCCATCACACATGCACATGCTTGTAGTTCTGTGGCCAAGGTCTGGACTATTGACATTGAAACTGAAAGTATGTCTCACTACAACCAGAGATGTGACTGCAACATGTGTAGACATCCCTGAGCTAGCTTTAAGCTAGTTAATTTGGGTACTGATAACATTGAAGCTGCAGCAGTATGCACTTCAGTGTAGGGCAGCTGTCCGAGTAAGTACCCAGGGTCCTGAGCGAGCTTGTATAGCCCACACTGAAATCATGCTGTCATAGCTTCACTGCTACGTGTATCCGAGCTAGCTAGAGGACAGTGGGTTTATTTCTTTCCTGTTAGAGGGGCTGATAATCCTGATTTTAGAAGAGAACTATAGTTATATGTAGGCAGGAAATTGCAAATGTGCAGGAGTAGGGTGACCACCTTTTCACAAGGCAAAAGCAGGGGGCTAGGGTGCCCAAGAGCAGTCCCCGGCCCATGTCCCTGCCCCCTGGGGCATGCCACCAAGGGCAGGTGGATGGTCTGGGGCTTCCCACAGTGGCCTGAGCTCCCTGGAACTGTGGCCCGACTCCGGCTTCCAGCCTGGCCAGGGAGTAGGGCCTTGGTGGGGAGAGGAGGAGTAGGTGGTGGGGCCTTGTGGCAAGGGGGACCTAAGACCCATCTCAGCCCCCCCCACCGTGAAACGGCTGGCACTTCTCCTGAGTCTCGGGCAGGCGTGGAGCGGCACCACAAATCCAAGACAAATGCTGTCTCAGAGTCATTCAATCCAGGACTAGGACTTGAACTCTGCATTTCAGAACTGCCCCCGCCCCCCACCCAATTCGGGACAGACGGTCACCCTGTGCAGGAGTGACTGATTTGGAGAGCAGCTGCATCCTCCTCTATCTTCATCACTATCAAAGAGAGCTCCTACAAAGTACTTTTTCAGAGTTCTTTTTACCCCTATGTGACTTAAACTGGAAAATATATGTAGCAGGAGCAAAAATGTGTGCTGAGAGTGCTGTGGAAATACAGGGACCTAAGTCCTTATTTGCTGTAACTGTCTGAAGACAAAGTAATTTTGGAAAGGATCGTTACGAATTTTTTAAGAAAGAAGCCAGTTCTGAACCATCTTGCAGCCCTCTAGGGGGTGTGGAGTGTCATTACTGGGCCTCCCTGTAAAGGGCCAGTGTGATGTAAGGAAAGTAAAACTATTGACCCATCTGTCAAGCACTGCAACATGTGAAATTTTGCCAAGTGGAAGCAGAAGAAACCCCCAACTGTGAGTAACTGTTTTGAAAGAAACTGGGAAGTTTTAGTTATGGAAAAGATAACAGATTATTAGAAATAACACCAGTGACTGTCAGTCTAATTTCCAGTCCATGGGGGAAATCCTGGCCATATTGAGGTCAATAGAAGTTTTGTCATTGAGCTCAGTGAAGCCAGAATTCCCCATATACCTTTACTGAGGGGAATTTTACCCCTCGTGCTATCAGACCAATCATTTGAGAGTTTGAGTGCTGATAATAGTCTTAGAAGTTCTGCTTCCTTGTTCCTGTTCACCGTTGTTTCAACAATCTTCTCCAAGCAGTGTACAGTCTCTTTATTTGATATTAAAACTATACTTTTTTGATGTCTCATATACTATGTGCTCCTAACACTTGCTATATGTATATCATTTTGCTAAAACTTCCTCTTTCCTATAGTTTTTCCTACTTAAATAATAGGGAAAAGAAGAAGCTTTTCCTCCTCCAAGATCTATGTCATAATTTTCCACAGAACAAATGTTATAAGTGTGTGTAACTGATCTGTGTTTTTTCCCATTAATTAGGGAAATAATTATCTGAAAGGAACACTATAAGTATTGGTGGACCCCAAATTTATTTTAGATTGTTTGCATTATCTGGGAATACATTATACTAGGTACAATGGTATAGATAATATTTTACAGCTGTATAGAAACACACTGACAGGTAAATAGATGGAGGCCTTTGGTGATATACAGAACATTTTGCAGGTATTTATAAATATTTAGGCAAGTGCATCAGTGGAAGGTTGTCCCATTGCAGGGATATAAAAGTTTGTATGCCCTCAAACTGTTGGTTATAAAAGAATGTTCATAGTTTGAGTCATTGCCAGCAGCCCAGTTCTGCAACAGAGTGTAAGTGTGCACTAAAGGGCAAACTTTCTATAAGGAAACAGATTTCCTTTTGAAGCTTTGAAGGGAATCATATTATTAACAAGTGAGCAGCTTTTTAAAAATCTGTGACTCAGAAAATGTGCTTTCGGATTTATGGTTTTTGTTGTTAAAGTATGCTGCAGGTGTTAAAAGTGTGCCCAAAACTGGAGAGCAAGCAGGGTTTGCGCGTTGTTTCTTAGAGTTTTTAAAGGTTACGTAAAAGCCTGGAGATGGGAAAGAAGGTCTGTGAGATGCAAAACACTCCAGAAGTTAATTCATCACATATTCTTGTCCTTTTGTTTCTTAGGGGTGCATTATGTATTTGACACCACTATAGCTGCTGATTTCAGTATCCTGGAGAGCCAGAAGGAATTTGTGCAGCGGTATCAACAGCGGAACCAGGAGGAACATGCCTTACCAATGTTTGCCTCTGCTTGTCCTGGTGAGAAGTTGAGTCCCTAACTCTGCAGCATTGTACAGTCCCCCATTTATCACTATAGAAATAAAAATAGTGCAGTTCTAGTAGGGTATATTGTAGCGCAGAAGATTTTTGGGCTCTGTATTTCAAGGATTCTGAATCTTACAGCACACGTCCTCCTTTCCTGTATGTAGTAATACTTGGCAGCTATAGCACTGTTCAGATGCTTTGCAGACATAGAGCTAGATTCAGCTCTGAGTTAAACAGGCTGCTGCGATGACAGAAAATGTGCCTGGAGAGCAGCGGGTTTGGTACCACATGACACACGCAGCTTCTCCTCTGCCAGGGAGCTGGCATAGCCACAAAAGTGGGCAGTGTAGATGGGGAGAGTGTGGCCAAGTTGGAAATGAAATGTGCTGTATCACTGGATCCCCTAGGCAATCTGACATAGGGGTTCTCATATGGAGTCCCAACTGCAACTTAAAGCTGTTGTCATCCAGCAGAACTGTGAGAAAGATGAGTAGTGCAAGTACTGCCTGCCCTCCCCTGAGTGTGAATTCTACCAGGGTCTGTTGCACACTGCTGGTTGAGGGAAGCAAAATTGGTACCTCTCTGCACACACCATTAACTAGTTAAGTTTCACATTCTCCCTGTGAGAGAGGCACATATTATTTAATTTTATAGATAGGGAAACTGAGGTACAGAAAGCTTAAGTGTCTTGTCCAAGGCCTCAGAAGGAGTCTGTGCAAGGATTAGCACTTAAGGAGTTTCTAGCTCTGAGTCATGTGTTTAGATCACAGCACTCTCCCCACTACATCATTCTTCTCTCACTGTGTGGTTTTGGCTTCGCCATTCATTTCTTTGAATTAAACATTTCCTGTTGAAAAGCACCATTAAGAAAAATGTACTTTTACTAAGTGCTTTAATTAGAAACCATGACTTCCATTAACCCAGGCAAAGTTTTTAACTTGTCACTGAGTATGGAAGGAAATGATTAAATGAAACTATGTTCATGTTGACTGTGTGAGATGGAACAATAGTTTTAATGTTGAAGGGAAGCCATCAACTTGAAATACCACACTTCTCTCTGAGAAGCGTATGCCTTGTTACAGGGAACACCTACCATTACTGGAAACAAGACAAGTTAAAGGGGACAATTTTTTTCCCCAGTTTGTTTACTTTGTATAGTCAGTTATGCTATTCTCCTGTTTACTCAGTTAGCTAGTCATTTTAGTCCAGTTCCTCAAAGGAAGTTACTCATCTAACTCAATAGCAGTAAGGTGCCTAAATACCTTTGAAGATCTTGCTGAAAAATCCTTTATAAACATCAACAAAGGAGCAGAAAAAGCTTTCTTAGCAATAATTGTTGTACATTTCAGGACATGTTTAAGCGGAGGAACTCCATCAGAAAATGGATTTTTTTTAAATAGTTAATTTTAAACTAGTTCAAGTGGGCAGTGTTCCTCTAAGGAAATATTACTACAAAAGAGAGATGAAGGATGGTTTACAAACACAGCATGCTTTCCTTGGAGGGTTGCCAATCTCCATAATCTGCCACTATCATTTAATGTAAAATGTGTGGGCATATAATTTTGAATAGATTGTTTTCTGGAAAACGATGGTTTTTAAAATTATACTCTTACATTTTATTGTGTAAAAGTAAGTATCTTTGTCGGGTGGATAACTGTTGTATATTCTCTGCTGGATGTGTTGAACATACACTTCTAGGGCTTGCATGTATATGTCAGGAGGAGAATACCCTTTAGGTTTGTCTGTTAGGAAAAAAGGGTTCTAGTTTGTTTTGTCTCCTGTGTTCAGAAGCAGATGTGCCACATGTCTTTCCCTACAGCTTGTAAGGTTTAAACAAAAAAGCACTCAATTTATCTTGTTACTCATGATTTAATTAACATTTAGAGGCCAGTCCAACTCCCATTGAAATCAGTGGCAGGATTCCCAAATTGACTTCACTGGGAGTTGGATTAGGTTCTCAGAGAGTATGGTGGGTTTGAGAATAATTTCCCATAAGTGTGGTTTTGTGTTAGAATTGAGCCAGAGGAAATTTGTTTTCCCTCATCTACAAATCAGAGATAATAATACTTATTCACCCCAGAGGGCTATTATGAGTCAATCAATTTGGGGGGGAGGGATAGCTCAGTGGTTTGAGCATTGGCCTGCTAAACCCAGGGTTGTGAGTTCAATCCTTGAGGGGGCCATTTAGGGAACTGGGGTAAAAATCTGTCTGGGGATTGGTCCTGCTTTGAGCAGGGGGTTGGACTAGATGACCTCCTGAGGTCCCTTCCAACCCTGATATTCTATGATTCTAATTAATGGAGGGCACTTATGTGCTTATCTACACTATAAAGTTTGGCATCTTCTTTTAGCAATGGCACAACTGCGTTGGTGCTAGCTATTGTGTAAGTATTAGTGGAGACACGGGTCAGATGTTTTCAGCACCACTGCTGCAAAATGGGAGCAAAATATTGTGGTAGACAACTCTGTGAGTGCAGGTTTTGTCACCATTCACAACCTATAGAGGGGATACCTCATGCTCAGTTGCTTTCTACATGTATAGTAAATAAGTTCAACTTTATTTCAAATGTCTGGGTTTTTTATTTTCATTCTATGAACCTCTGATATAAATTGGTCCCAGAAGTTCTGTTTGTTTAAAGGGTGCATTCCTTTATCTCAATATTGGTTTAAAAGTGTTTTGTACACAGAAGATCAGTCCAGATTGAGGCACAACAGTTTCACTTCTGTTTCTTTCAGGGTGTAGTTCTCCACATAGTGAACCATTGCCCTTAAGTATACAATGACTTAGTGATCTGTGATTCAAACTAATGCTCTCCTCTGGTTATAAAACTGAAGAGACCATGATAAAGGGTCATCTTTTGTGGATGCATTTTAATCTTTTTATCATATGAGGTTTCTCTGCTTTCCTGTTGAAACTATGAGGATTTCTCATTTTACTTCTGTTTTTATATCCCCTACTCAAGACTTGGCATCACAACAAATCAGCCATTTGCCTGATAAGACTAAACTATCCTTTAGCTCTTGTTGATTTTGTTCTTTAATTGGCCAGATTGGTCAACATTGAGTGACATGAAGCACTCCCGCTTGGAATTGATCTGCTGTTCCCAAAACATTCCCATCCTCTGCTGACACCTAAAGCAAGCGACTGGGACAGGCAGTTGAATCTAAGTCTCACAAATAGCAGGAAAGTACATTGCTACTAGATGACTGTTCAGGGCTGTTCAAATGTCTTTGGCCCAGTGGGCCAAATTCATTCTCACTGTTTTTCCACTGAAGTGTATGGAGTTATTCTGAAGATAAATCTGGCTCAGTATTTCTCTGTAGTTTATAGCAATATGTAACCACACATTTTTAGACTGTTTTTCATACAGCAAATACCACTGAGAATAATATATGAACTGAGCCTGGGAGCATTTACACACTGATTTGTGGATTCATAGGCCTTAAAAATAAAAAAAACAGAACTGGTACTTTGAAGCTAATATAAACCAGAAGATGGCCTAGAATTAATGCAAACATAGGAGGAGTCTATATGGTTAAGTATAAGTGATTCACTCCAGTAAGAAGCAGTCAGTTCTTCAGGTTTCTGCAGATCTATTGATTGATGAGTAGGCAGAAAACAAACTGTGCATGTGTGAAGTGCAGATAAAAGCCTTGTATTGCTCATTCACCAAGGCTACTTCCATAACTAAACAGTGACTAATGCCACTGTGAAGCTGGAACTAATGGAAACTTGTTTGTTTCCTAGCTATAGATACATGGTAGAACAGCACATGAAATAAATCTGGCCTACCTAGCTGGCTGCAGCTGTTTGGATTTTAATGAAACTCCATGGGGTTGTTTGATTTATCATATTGAAAACATTTGGTTTCTGAAAACAAGCTTCCTAGGCACAGCACTGTGATGACTAATGAAAATCATGCCAGATGTTTAAGGGCAAGGCCGTCTGAGAACATTGATCTAGAGTGACATAGTGGAAAACTTCTAATTTAAAATAAGAAATACTTCCTCTTTTTAGAGGCATAATCTGTTCTACAGTCATGTACACAGTATGGGGTGTGTGGGTGTCATATAATTGTTAAAGGACTTCAGATTCCAGTGCTATCAGTCCAACCTTTATTCCAGACACTAAAAAGAAAAGGAAAATCAATAAATGTTCCACATTTTTTAATCTGACCTTGATTGTGCCAAGGTGAGACCTATATAGCACTGGTTGGAACCAGGCATAATGAAGGTAAACACAACACAAACTTCTTGTTCATAGCTCTGACATAGCACCTCAGTCCTGACATGCAGATCCCTTAACTCATCCAGCCCTTGCTTCCCTTGAGCACAGATGAATAAGTGTTTGCTGTGGGGAGGGAAGTTTGGGGGGTGTTTCTGTGATGCAGACAAATGCCTGTTAGGGTCTCATGTGAAACTGGTCAGTCTCATTGTCTCTTTTTTAACCGGAGTTGGGAACACCAGGCAGGAGGACGGCTAGTGCTCCCCTAATGTGCACATGCCTTGTATAATTCTCCTCATACTGCAAAGGTGTCATGCCTGAAAACCATGGAAATATATCCTGCTCCCTTCTACTGACATACACAGAGAGAAAATCATCTGAGTACCATCCTGATTACAATACTGTCTGCTTTTCTTTGTCCAAGTGCCTGTTTTCAGCTGACTCGCAAGTATAACTACTGTGTAATGTCTTCACTTATAGTGCTGCTTCTATATGGTCCCCAAATCTCAAGATTACCACAGGCCTACAAATATAATGTTTCCTGGTAGCATGTGCTCTGTAGTCGTTGTCTCTCTCTTACAAGCACTAATCTGTTTGGGGATGGAGAACCTGTCTGTTGTGAAGTGGGTGTTGCCTGTGGGCTAAGATATTGCTGCCCTAACATTTCTGTACTGTTTAGTTTTCAAAGTGGCAAAATATAAATCTACCAAGGTAATAGACACATTATAGGCCCAGTGGTTAGACACTAGCCTGGAACTTGGGAGAACCAGGTTCAATTCCTTGCTCTGTTCCAGGCTTCCTGAGTGACCCAGTCAAGTCACTTGACTCTATCTGTGTCTCAATTTCTCAGCTGTACAATGGAGATAATAGTGTTGCCCCGCCCCACAGGGATGTTGTAAGGATAAATACATTAAGGATTGTGAGGTGGTCAGATGCTATAGCAATGGGGTCAGTAAAGTACATTAGATAGAATGTATCTATTAATATCTACAATAATGCACAGAGACTTGGGATGCTTGTGGTTTTTTTTTAAGAGGATACAGATAATTGATTTTCATGTATAACCATAGCCGAAATCTGATTTGTTCAGGCTTGCTCCCAGTAATGCAGTGAGTTTTTAGATGATGCTTCATTCCACTCTGCTGTTCTGGAGAAGGCACACTGTACAGTGTACTGGGATACTGAAACTTAGAAAACAGAAGGTTACAGAGTTACTCTACACTCTTGAGTAGAATGGAGCAGCATTAGTAAATGGTGATCCAAGTGATGGCTGCCAAAAAATGTTGGCTTATTTCTTTATTATCTGAATCCCCAGTTGAGGTGCTCCCGTAAGTCTGGGCATTCAAGCGGATGTAATACCTAATTCATTTCACAATGGATTCTAGGTTATAGAATTAATTACCCAGTAGATTCACCAAATCCATTTGTAGACTCCTGTTAGTATCCTTCAGAACAGTAAAGAATTTATTGATGGGGGGCCGCTGACATGGACAAACTGCATAGTCAGAGTAGAAATTTGAAAGCAAGTGCAAATTGTGATTGTCTTATGAAATACTGAGGTGAGGTTTGTTCTCTCCTCAGTGTGTAGGGAGACCCCAGACTTGTCCAATAAGTGTACAGGGAAAAGGAAAGGAGTAAAAGGAGGAGGGGAGGGAAACTGTATGATCCCAGTCTGGGTCCCCTCAGTGCGAAAGTACTCAAGGAGCTACGTGTAAAACAGCAGGTGACTCCTTGAAAGTCACTGGATGTCTTTTCATCTCCTGTGGGCCCTTAATACAGCCAGATGCAGGAGTTAGCTCACCTGTACAAGGGTCAGGCAGAGAGCTGCTGGCTGAAGCTTCTCTTCTCTGCTTCTGCTGTACTTGGTTCAGCCAGGGAGCACCAGTGGATACTCCCACCCTAAGCAAGCTGTCTGAGTGAGGGCATGAGGCAGAAGAGCCACCAGAGGAGGAGATGAAGGGGGTAAACAGCGGAGAGCAGCAAAAGAGAGTGCCTAGAAGAGAATAAAATGAAACTGAGAGAATGGACTGAACAGAGAGATAAGGAAGGATGGTCAAGTGGTTAGGGTGCTAGTCTGACAATCAGGACACTGAAGTTCAGCTCCCTGCTTTGCAGTAGATCTTTTGCATGATCTTGGATGAGTCACTTAAGTCTCTCTTGGCCATCTGTAAAATTGGATAATAGAACTGCCCTATCTCATCAGGGCGATGGGAGGATAAATACATTGACTGTGGGGCTCTCAGATTGTACAGTAATAAGGAACCACATAAGTACCATTGGTGGCAGCTGTGCCGGGGAGAGCAGAAGAGACCAGTCACCCATCCAACAATCCATAAGAAAAGCGGCTCCACCCAAAAGAAAAGTTTGGAGTCCACCAACTCAGGGAGTCTCTGGAGAGAACGTAGCTTCTGTTGGCATTAATAAGAGTTATTGCAGAAATTTCCTGCATGCAGTGGGAGACAAGTCCATCTTCCCTCCCCACTTTTAACAAGAAGTTTCCCATCAGCCCTGCCATCCCATCATGCTGGATTTTTTTATCCCTTTCCTCAAGGAGCCATTTCCATATGTTCTCAACTTTGCTATCTTTCTTCATTCACTGTAATTCTAGGTTGGATCCGGTATGCTGAAAGGGTGCTTACCAACCCAGTGACTCCACACATTTGCACTGCAAAGTCTCCGCAGCAGATCATGGGGTCCCTGGTGAAGGGTTACTTTGCCAGGCAACAGGTAACTAATTCTGCTTTTCACGACTCTTCTAGAGAATTGTTCTCTTGCATGTTGGCTTTCTAATATTTAATTACAGATGTCTTACACCTCCTCCCACCCCCTCATTCTTCCTAAACTGTCTGTTCTTACATCTCAGGCTAGATTGTGCTTTGCTGCTATGCAAGTGTGCAAAACAAAGAACCTCTCCATTTCACCCCACACTGGCTGAACATAGTTGCTGTCCTTGTGCTCTCAGTACCTCATGGAGATAGATTCTTTTTCTATATAGAGAGTGAAATCCTGAGTGACCAAAGTAAAGCTGGCATGCCAAATGCTGCCCACAGAGTTCTACAATACAATCTTTAAAGCAGAGGATATCATGCAGAAACTACAGTTCCCAGCATGCAATGCTCTGTCATCTCAGATCAACCTGAAGCATTTGCATGCTGAGAACTGAAGTATCCATTGGTTCTGAGTTCACAAGTTGACTCTGCCACTAATTTTAGGTATGGTCTGGAGCAAGTCATGGCCGCTGTGTGCCTCAGTTTCCCCATGTAGGGTGACCAGGCGTCCCAATATAATAGGGACCATCCCGATATTAGGGGCTTTGTTTTACATAGGCAACTATACTCCTCCCTTGTCTTCCCCTCTCCCCCCCAAAAAAAAGTGCCCCGATTTTTCAGACTTGTTATCTGCTCACCCTATCCCCATACGACAGATGGGGATAATTAATAATACTTAAGTATCTATTACTCCTGGAGGGTTCTGCGCCAAAAAATGCAAAATTCTGCATATTTTATTTGTCAAAATAATGCAGTATAATTACACCAGTTTCAATTGTTTTGGTAATTTATTTAAACTACAATACAGAAAAAAGTCACAGTAACTATTCATCATTTCCTAAACACATGAAAGAAAGTCAAGTTACAAACACTTGGTAACTGATACCCTGCATTCCAGTAATCCTGGATTTTCATTTAAATTACATTACAGAACACCAAACAGCGCCAAAAAAAAAAAAAAGTAGAATGTCATTTTAAATTGCTCAGACTTTGACACATGAAAGTCGTACAGTTTTGCTAATCATTGTCCTGGACTTGGCCGGGTACTTTGGGAAGTGCTTGGTTCTGATTGTCCTGACGTTTTATTGACTGCTTGATAAATGTTTTATTTGCTGCCCCAGTTGCTGTGACTTGCAGTTAGTTTCAGACCTAATGTGACTGTAAATATAACCTGTGTAATTTTCTGCAATAATATTTTTATCCATGTTTGTCTCCATGCATTCTTGGCCTTTTCACAAAATTCAGATGTGCCCTTTTTATTCCTCAGAACCTATCTCCAGATAAAATTTTCCATATAATCGTGGCTCCTTGCTATGACAAAAAATTGGAAGCACTACGGGAAGATTTTTACACCCCCTTGTATAACTCTCAAGACGTTGATTGTGTTCTAACGTCAGGTAAAACCTCCTTTAAATGTCCTCCTATATAAAACGGCAGCATGATTTACCAGTTGTTTGAACTGACTTTATGCTAGGTCAGCTTTTTATTCATTTAGCATTTTGTAGTTGTCAAAATAAGGTTTAGTTTCATCTGATTCTAAAAAAGGACGCTTTCTTGAGTTACTGACTCTATATGTATTGCATAGAGATTGGGTGTGGGGTAGATAAAAGAACAAAAACTGGCTGTGTCTGTGTTCCACTCTCCTTGTCTCATCCAGAGCAATTATCTGAACTTGCACTGCAGTCAACCTTTCTGACAGGCAAAAGCTGTCCTGGCCAGCATTTAGTTTGTGGCTTTGTCCTCCTTATCTACATTCCGCCTGTTAATTCATTAACACATCTCTCCTGGGAGGACTACTCCTTCCAACCTTCTTGCCCCCCAGCAGCTTCAAACAGCTGCCTTTTTTTTTTGCACAGAGGGGCGGGGGGAATGGAAGGAAAGGGTTGTCTTTTAAGATTAACCTGCCACAAAAACATTTCTTCCTTTTTGGACAATGTGGAAATTTCTCCCAAATGCCACTCTGCCCCAAGGCTCAGGAGGGGTATTATCTGATATTGGGCCAGTGATAGGTTGAAAGTTATTAATTCATTCTTAAACACTGCCAACGTAGTTTGGTAAATATGTGGCACATCCAGAAATGTCTGGTGATGTGGTATGGAGTAAAGGTATTCTTGGAACTCATATGGGGTGACCCGCAAGACTCATTCATGGCTTCATACGAGGGTTGCCAATTTTGGATCTATTCCTGGAGATTTCATCACCTCATATAATCTTTTAATTAAAGATTAATCTTTAATTCCTGGGGACTCCAGGCCAATCCTGGAGGGTTGGCAACCCTACTTCATACCACACTGTCTATTTGTTTTTGCTTTGTTTGTCTCTCAGCTATCTGCCTTCTTGAAGAGAGAGACTGTGTGTGTACTTTGGTTTGTGTTTAAGATAAAATGTCCTGCATTGCCCTACAGGTGAAATTGTCCAAATAATGGAGCAGAAAAATATATCTATGAAAGAAGTGGCTGAAGTGGCTGTAGACAGTTTGTAAGTAGCTTTCGCTGTGGGCTATGTTGTCATTGTGCCAGTGATCAAATAATGTTCTGTCATACATAGAAGTCACCACATGTGTAGTGCTTTTTCAAACAAATAAGCTATTCAAAACAAGAAAGTTTGCATGCACCAAAACCGGACTACACTGAAACCTGTTCACATGCACAGTGCCTAAAGAAACAAGCATTTTTCTTTCAGAGGCCTCTTGTATCTCCCAGTGCATGAAGTGGTAAAATGCAACAGATAGCCCTTTCTAATTGATTTTGGATTAGTATAAAAATATATCCATCACCTAAAACAGCAGCCCCTTCCTAAATGGATTCCTCTCTAATTTTTTTAAAAACCTAATTTAAAAGAATGAAACCTGTGCTGTGCCAAGATTGTATGTTCAATAGGCTTTGGTGTCTGCAATGAAGATGATAAAAAAAAAAACCAAGTAGCTTTTATTTGTATCTTTGTGCAGTAGTATTAGATCTGTATAAAGTGGTGAGATTCTGGATTCCACTGAAATGATGACTTGTGTTAGTGTTATCATGGGGTCTTTTGGTGTCCACATCTATATCTTTTTTTTTTTTTTTTAAGCTTTGCTATAATTGAACGTGTGTAAGGGTTAACTACTCATTCCCTCAGGGTGTGTTCTCCTTCTAGTACCCAGCTTCCCACTAGACTGGGCTGGGGCAATTTCTGTGGGGTTTATTCTGTGTTCTGTCATCCCCTCTCTCATTCAGACCAGCATCTTCACAGTGAATTTCCATTTTTCCTATTGTCTTCATGCAGAATTAGTGACAAGTGAACATCACCTTCTTTAGGAATGGTAAATGTTTTTTTCCTGAATAGAGCAACTAGGTTCTATCCACATTAGATCAAATAAATACATCTATTAGTTAAACGACAGCAGAGAAAAGCCAGGCCATTGCAAAACATTAGAGTATTTGTTTACTCACTGCCTAACTTGTATGGAAACCATCATGTACACTCACAGAATTCCTAGGCCACTTAGTTACAAAGGCAGAGTCTCAAAGGTTATCCAGTTCCAAGTTGTGTGTGATGCATGTTAGTCCAGTCTCGTTCCACAGCTGCATAATGAAGTGACAAACTCACTCTCCTGCAAAGAGTGGAAGAAAGCTCCTTCAAGACTATCCAAAATCCCTTTGAGTTTCTCCCTTCATCCTCAAATTGTATCCCGCCTAGGCATTGTCTACACTAGGGAAGTCTAGGTTACACAGTGATAAGAATGCCTAAATCCTGTTTACACTACAGCCTCCGTGATTACTTCTGCTAATGGGGCTGCACCGGCTGTGAGTTAAAGGTACCCATTTTTTAAAAGCTTACAGAGAGGGCCAGGTTAGGTTGGTGGCTTTTTGTTTTATTAAATGATTAAAGAGCAAGCTTGATTTCAAATTTTAAACATACCATTGGAATGTCTTTTAAGCTGTATTTGGGCTAATTTATATTAGAGGGTGAGAGCAACACCTTAAGAGGGATAACGTGGTATCCAAATTGACTACCAGACTTGACATCACAAATCTTTACCCTTCCCTGTGGTGATTTTTCACCCATTAAAAGCAGATCTTCAGAGGAATAGGAATGAAGTGAGAACAAAAGCTTCTCCAATGGAATCTTACATTTAATATTAACATTAAACAAAATTAAACTCCTCTTTAAAAATAAGCACCAATATACTTGAAGCTGTGGTATAATCATTGTGATTGTTTGTTCAAATTACTTTTTAATCCTAAATTACTTCTGTTGTAATTCTGATAATTACTATCTTAACTGGAGAACATTAACATAAATAGAAGTTAGGCAAATACAGGACACACGGACACCAAACAAAACCACAGCTGGTAACAACAAAAATCACCATCAATTAAATAAGCCCACCACTAATTGTCTGGCTCAAAGAGCAGGTGGACATGCTGTATGCCTGGTTCTCACTTGTTAAATGTAGCTAGTTCCTTAGGAATAAAACCCCAACTTTTTTGTGGTTCTTTTAAGTTAGATGTTTGATATAATATTATTTTGCATTAACAATTCCTGCCTTTGATTTCTGGTTGAATGTAAGGGCTCGGGCTGCTGCTGCCAGCAGAGTGCACAATCTATATAGCGCACAGGTCACGCTGGGATGCTCAGGGAGGAGTGCAAAGTAGACCAGAGCTACAGATAGTTTTCCAGCAGAAGTGAGAGCAGGGTGAAGAACTTATTATCCCTGGAGCAGCCAACAGGCTGGAACTGCTGTCAAAAACGCCTTTTTCTCACAATAGTGATGCCATGTATCCCTAACCACTCCTTTTCTACCGGAAAGATAAAATATGTGCCAGTGATTCTGTAGGGCTGCATTCCAATCACTTGCTCACCTTGTGCTGCAGCATAAAACTGCCATTTTGGTCACTAGAGATCATTCAATACAGTACTATTCTTTGACCAGACATGAGTCAATTCCTGTATTTTACTTATTTATTCTACAAATTTCAGCTTTGATAATTGTGTTCTGCCTACAGGTGAATCCAATGTCAATTGGATATAGTATTTTTCACTTCCTGCTGTCCAAAGCTACCGTGTTCCATGGAATGATCCCTCTATATTGTTTCTATATCAGTTTACAAACACAGTGTTGGAAATCCTTAGGCACACACACAGTCCCGTGGAAGCCAGCAGAACTGCTCTCGTGAGCAAAAGTTTGCAGGATCAGGCCTATGATCTGTAAAGTACTTTTAGATCCTTCAAGGTTAAAAGTGCCTCCTACATTACAATAAACATGATCTGATATTTATTCTTTCACATTCATTTTGTTTTGGCTGGGGGTTTTCACAGTTAAAACAAGTGTTTTCAAATTGCCTGAATGCTGCTATGATTCAGTTTCCATGTGACTTTGAGTGTGGTTTTTAAAATGCTTCTTAACCAGCTGGCCTTGATGGCTGTTTCCAAGCCATTTCATTCTATTATGTATGAATATATTTTGTTAAACTTCAGTTGCCTGAAGTTTTTGAAGCTACAATTTTATTTTTCCTCTTTTGCCATTTTCATTTTACCATTGTCTCAAAACACAAATTGGACAAGTTCATTTCTAGGAACAAATGTGTTTTTCCCCTGACAAAAAATGTTATGGGAAAGAAAAACAAATCTCATTTTCTTCAAGTGAAATGATCAGACTCTGAGCTTCTTTCTCCCTCCTTTTTGTCCATTTTCTAAGGTTTGGTGAAATAAAGGAGGAGGACGTACTACGGCATGATGGGAGGAGATCTGATGGGTACCTGGAGCACATCTTTAAACATGCTGCCAAGGAGCTGTTTGATATGGATGTCAAGGAAATCACCTACAAAACACTAAAGTAAGTTGGATTTTGGATCTCTGTATTTAATAGGATGGGATAACATGAACCTCAGTGCAGTAACTTGTTTGCATTGTCCTTACATAAGCTACCTGTAAATTCACCACTGGAAAATCACTGTTACTAACTCTTGTTTTATTAATAATGCTTCTCCTTTGAAGATGGAATAGATATTTGTTCCTCAATCTCCACCCAAATTTTTATTTAACCCACAACACTTAGGAACTAGAAGTCCTGCCCATTCACCCTCAGGTTATCCCTTTTGCCTTCTATCATGTGAGCTCTGTGGGCATGTACTGAAATGCTTGTATCATCCTGTTAGTAATCCCCAAGGGATCTGAGGGTTTAGAATTTTCTCTGTCTCTCTTTACAGAAACAAGGACTTCCAGGAGGTCACCCTGGAAAAGGACGGTGAGACAGTGTTGCGCTTCGCCGCCGCGTATGGCTTTAGGAACATCCAGAACGTGGTCCTGAAGCTGAAAAAGGGAAAGTTCTTGTATCATTTTGTGGAGGTTCTTGCCTGCCCTGGAGGTAAGAATGATACTGGATCTATGGTGACTTTTTTCTGTTTCTTTGAGTATCATGGGAAGGTTCCAAAGTGAGCTGATCCAGCTGGAACCCTGGCCCTTTAAATAGCCCCTGGAGCCCCCCCGCTACCCTAGGACTCTGGGGGTTATTTAAAGGGCCCGGGGCTCCCCTGCTTCTACCGCCCCAGCCCTTTAACTAGCCGCCGGAGCCCTGGGGGAAGCGGCGGGGCTCCAGCAGCTATTTAAAGGACCAGGCTGGCAGAGGCAGCTGGAGCCCCCCGCTACCCCAGAGCTCTTGCAGCTATTTAAAGGGCCGGGGTGGTAGAAGCAGGGAGAGCAACGGACTTTTCAAATAGCCCCCAGAGCTCCGCTGCCGCTACCCCAGAGCTCCAGCAGTAGGGCTCTGGTGCAATTTAAAGGGCCTGGGGCTCCAGCCCCTGCTGGGAGCCCCAGGCCCTTTAAATTGCCCCCCTGGGGAAGCCGGGCCATCCCAGTACAGCACACCGGCTCTTGCCGGTATGCCGTACGGGGGCGTACCTGCTTACTTTCACCTCTCTGGGTAAGGGGGTGGGGCTGCAAGCTCCAGCGGCTGCGCGGCATCCTTACACAGCAGCATGGTAAAGGGGCCAGGCCGGGGCTGGGAGGAGGGGTTGGATAAGGGGTAGGGAGCAGTTGGAGGGGGCGGAGGTTCTGGGGAGCGGTCAGGAGATGGGGAACGGGGGGGTTGGGTAGGTGTGGGAGTCCCAGGGGTCTTTTGGGGTGGTGGTGGATGGGGGGTCAGGGCAGTCAGGGGACAGGGAGCGGGGCGAGTTGGGTAGGGGGTGGGGTCCTGGGAGGCAGTTAGGGTGAGGCATCTTGGGAGGGGGTGGTCAGGGAAAAGGGGGGGCTGATGGGGTGCGGGTTCTGAGGGGGGCAGTCGGAGGCAGGACGTGGGTTGGGGTTGGATGGGTGGGTGGCGGGGGGGAGACAGGCACGTGGGACTTGTACTCACCGTGCGGTTCCCTACTGGGTCTTTGGCGGCACTTCGGCGGCGAGTCCTTCACTCACTCCGGGTGAAGGATCTGCCGCCGAAAACCCGGAGTGAGTGAAGACCCCCCCTGCCGCCGAGGACCCGGTAGGGAACCGGTTCTTAGGATTTTGGTAGTTCATCACTGGTTCTTCTCCCAAACAAACTAATCCCGTCTCATGGGTGTGGTGTTCTATTTTTAGGGTGTTTAAATGGAAAAGGCCAAGCCCAGACTGAAGATGGAAAACCTGACAAAGTATTGCTCAGCCAGATGGAGGAAGTGTATGCTGCAATTCCTATCAGGCTTCCAGAAACCAGCATGCATGTGCAAAAGCTGTACCAGGACTGGCTGGAAGGGATGGACTCCAAGAAGGTCCAGGAAACTCTGCACACCAAATACTGTGCAGTAAATCAAACAGCAAGCAGCATGGATATCAAGTGGTGACAAATCAGGCTTACAAAAGATGAAAAAACTTGCATAGGTTACTTATGAACTCAGCACTGGAAACATTCTATGCAATTGAGGATGCTATGCACTAGCCAAGTGTATGACCAGTACACTTTCTGAATTGCGGAATATTACTTACTTAAGCAAAGAACCATTGCTCAATTTTTTATTTTGAATGCCTTGGTTCCCTACAGGGTCTGTTAGACTCTTATTGTGCTTGACCTCCTGCATATTTGGGACTTCCTTGTTTAGTTAAGGTCTGATCTTGCAAGGTATGGTGAGCACCTTCTTCTAGGTGTACAATGCCCTTGACTCGGAGTGAAGTTAATGCAGGTTGAGGATTCTCACCACTTTTACAGAACTGGCACCCTCAACCAGGAGCTATTGTAATCCTTATGTATGTGATTCCTTTCACCAGGCAAGAACAGCCACCCTGGTTAGAATTGTTGTGTTAAGTGTACCGTAATTTAGAACTCTTTTTGCCTTGTTAACCAAAAAATGAGGATTTTACACAAAGCAACCGATGAAAAATGTAATTGAAAGATTTAATTGACTCCTTCCACCCCTGCACAAAAAAAAGGTTTATTCACTTACCAAAACATTGGCAACAAGCTTCCTACAGACACACTAACCACAAGGGAGAACATTCTGATATAAATGGAATGTCTTTAATAATACTAAATGGTTGTAATACAGTCCTTTCATTAAGGATTTTTGCTAACAGGCTGGTTTGTACAAATAGTTAAACCGTGTTAATCTCTCTCTTCAGAAACTTTCATCGTGAATTAATCTTTTCTGTAACTTTTATTTTCTTTTGTCTGACTTGTTTATGAACGTGAGATATGGTGACCCCATCTGAAGACAGGCATGATGTCGCCATGTGCCCTGCAATCTTCACCCTACATCGGTTCTACGCTAGACCTCAGTCCTGATTTACAATACCTCTGCTACTCCATTTCTGGCTAGTCCTGAGCATACACAGTGTCAGATTGAATCCAGAAACCAGATAAATTTGTTGAGTGCCTCTAACTAAAATCTTAATTTTGGAACATTCTTGAACTGATAAGAATATAATGTAAATTGATAGTGCTAGTTTGGGGGCATTTTTACGTACATTACATGGCTGCTTAATTTAACAAGCTTAAAAAACGGTGCTTGATGGATGTAACCTTCTCTACAGCCTCGCAGTTCAGGGAGGGATGTTTAAGGATGTGATGTGAAATTCCAGCCATTACAAGGCTTCCACCAGATTTCATAGCAGCCTCATGCTTGTTTTGATTAGTGGCTCTCTCAAAACTGGAATGATTTCAGCTTTCACATTTTATTGAGAAAATATGAATGGGGTTTGTCATGATCTCAGGAAATGCATGAATGCAAATCTTGTGGATTTCTTAATATCAGTTACTGTACTTGTATGTGCACAAAGCTAATAATACAAGATCTCGATTAAGTATATTTGAAATCAGGATCTACCCTTGGAATGTGGGAAGTGAGGCATTCAATGCTTCCAGTCTTCTTTTTTAATAAAAATAAACTAACAGCAGAGTCGATCATATTCCTGTTGGAGGCAAATACGAGTTTTTGACTTAAATAGGAGTAGGCTCAAAACGAGGAGGGGAAAAAAAGGGTGCTGAAATATGTGGACTTGCTGGAAGGGACAACTGATTTAAAATGAACTTGTTGATGTGGTTGCAGGTTTCATCTAAGCTTCCTTTACTTTAATAATACTTTATTTCAATGCAAAAGGCATGTGGATCTGACTTGTATGGCTACCTGCATGCAGAGTAAGCCTTCAGGTTTGTTTGGTTTTTTAATAAAATGTTACATTTGACGCAATAACTGAACATCTAGAGAAATCTACCTCTGTGCTAGGAAAAGAGTTTGGAGCAGCAGGGAGATCCTGGAAAACCTACACATCCAAAAAATTTTTTAAATTGTCTGTTAAAGAATGATCTGTGGATTACACGAAGCTTGTGAACATCTTCAGTACTTGAAAGTAACATGACCCCTTCAGTTTTAATTTCTTGATCTATTCTGATATCCCCAGAACCCTTCAATGGAATTACATTGTAATTAAGTTTTATTGTTCTAAGTTAGTATATACATATATTTTTATATGTATATATGGCTTAAAACTGGTTGATATGTTAATTTATATATATAGCTTCAGTTCTGTGTACAGTTTGTTTATTTTTGTAAAGGAAAATGTGGATATACTTGACAATGTGAAAAACTGGTTCTCAGTTTAAATTTTTGATTAAAATTTAGTTCTTCACTATGCTGTGAAAGAACTATCTTCCTGTGGGAATCTTTAAGTAAATCTAGAGAGTAAGAACAGCTCCATCTCATTGGCAGCTGCCCATCACTGAACAAAAACCCTCTCTGCCATTTTGCTTGCACACACATGCCTGTTTCATTCAATAGATTCTCTTTCCATACTTGAGTTTCCACAAGAACAGTATCAGATGAGACAAGGCTGGCTGTAAAATACTAGTTGTTCTTTCCCATTATATAAAGGGAAATTAAGAAGATCATCAGATTAAGAATTCACTTTCTTTCAGCTTCTCAATTTGAAATGCTCTGCACTTAAAAAGTAGCGGTGTAACAATCTCTTAGAACTGTTACATGCCACAACATCTCTTTAAAAAAAGAGTGCATTTTGAATGCTCATCCAACAAATAGCTGTAGTGGCTACATATAGTATCATTAGGTGTTCTATAATTAGGGATTGTGGGAGTTTTCTGATTTCTTTTCAGTGTTTAATTTTTAGAAAAATTGAGACTATTTTTGGAATAAAAAATCTGATTTTATCATTTAAAAAAAAAATAGTTTTCCATTAACTGTCAGTTTGTGAAACATTCAGGAACCTCCTCCGCAAAGTTTAACATTGCAAAAATCATAATTTTTCAGTGTTTTTCAGAGAATCTCTAAATTTTTTGCTTCATTGAGGTTTCAGCTTAAAACTGGAAACCCTTATGATTTTAGGTATGTTGGGAATGCTCATCAGGTATCTAAGATCAGATTCTAGCCTTTACGTCTACATTAGGAAAGTTACGCCGTGTTGACAATGGGTGCAGCTAGCTAGTTTCTGAAACTGTGCTGAACATAATGTAGTCCTGTCTACACTTGCAATTAAACTGTTTTGCAGCAGCAGTTTATTTACATTTGTTGACAGCACCCTGAATCACCAATGTGTAACGTTCCTAGTGTAGTCACAGCCATAGTGCTTTACTTCTCAGTTGAATGTTGTGCTGGGACAATTCATCGCTGAGTACAAAACAATGTGGGGTTTTGCTGTGGATTTTTTTTTTTTTTTTTTTTTTTTTTTTTAAGGAAAACTAAATCTGTGTTTAAAAATCTTTGGCAAAATGAAAATGCTAAACTGTATTTGGAGGTTGTCTTTAATGCCATAAAATATCCCAGACATTTAATGTACTGGTAGTGAGATGAGTTGTATTATAGTATTCGTCTGAGGTCTCTAATGGGAAGGGTAAGTGTTGTAAAGACATCTTGCCAAGACCTCAGAAATAAGAGAGTTTGCCTCTTAGCAGCCATTGCGCCAATGTATTTTTGTTTGTTCACAATACTTCAAGTGAATACGATCTGGGACTATGATAGCTAATAAATACATGTCTGTACACAGCTCAGCAGCTTCAACTGGATGATATTTGGATAATGTTCAGTTATCTAAACTCTGGTGCTTTGTATTTCAAAAGGAGCATGAACTTGAATTGCCCTAATAAATATCTTTGAATCTAATTTTGTGGTGATTTTGTTTAGTTACATACATGGGCCTCATCTTATTCCAAGGTGCATATTGCCTCAACACAGACACCCATCTCTCTGAAAGCTTAGCAGCTCCACACAATGTACTTCCTACAAATGTTTGTTTTTAAAATGTTTTGAGATGGTCATTAACCTAATGTGAGGGGAGGAGACTGTCCTTCCATGTCCCTTTCAGAGACCAGAGTCTGAGTGAGCCCATATCTCACTATCCTGCCAGCCCCTCCCCAGGGCTGAGTGTGCTGATTGTCCAAGGTTGTTGGTCCCGATCAGTCTGGCGAATGAGATACCAGCGCCACTTTTCTTTAAGCTTATTGCACAGTCATTAAACTGCCGAAAGGAAAATAAATGTTCCTCATTTAGAGTTGCCTTTGGACACACGGCAATAACAATACTTTACATCCACTGTTGATAAGACATCTGGACTAAAACACTACCAATTCTTTCCAGTCAAAGTATGCAAGCAAAAACCTTTCAGCTAATTGTAGGAAATGTTCAGTTACCCTCACTTACTATAGTACTGAGTGACTATGTAAGCCAGCCAGATGGCTCCTGTGGGGTTCCTAACTTTGAAAACCATTATGGGGAACAAACTGGTAAGTAACTGATTATACTGTAGCATCAAGTACCTACACTGTAGTCAGTTCATTTAAAGCACTTGAAAGCAAAGACTTGTACTCTGATTCTGCAACTAAGGAATTTGTTGTATAATCCATCTCCTGGGAGCAGAATTGTGCTCCAGAAGCCAAGATTTAATTTTCAAAATAAGTTTGTAGCCATCAAGATTGGGAAGGAGCTTCCCAAACATGAGACAAATGTAACTTTCTGCTTTGTTTTCCTGAGTCTGTAAACCTCCAAGGGCGGTTTCTTTACAAAATTGTTCTCGGAACCTACAGTGTGAAATTCATCCTGGTGTGGGAGATGCGACAAAGGGCCAGATTTTTAAAGTTATTTAGTCACCTAAAGATTCAGATAGGGGCTTACTGGGATTTTCAAAACCACCTAGGTGCCTAACATCCATTGTTATCAGTTAGGTGTTTTTGAAAATCCCACTAGGTACCCATCTGACTCTTTGGGCAGTTAAATACCCTTTGCACCTTTTAAAACAGTTGGTGGGGTTACCTGGGCAATGTAAGGGAAAGGAAGGGAACTGCCTGCAGAAGGGAGGGCTCTGCATCTATGCACTATGGAACTCTCAGGTCACCCCAGCATAAACTGGCTGGAAATAGAGAGCAGGTGAGGGGATCTCAGCTTATGTGGCGCCAATGACTCTAGGGAGTAGTCTCCATGCAGAGTTGCAGCTTTTTAATAGGTGGTTTTTAAACCAAAGCAAAAGCTGGTCTGGATCAGGAGCGCCGCCAGCTTTTCTGCCGCGGAAGGTCCCGCCCCGAAATGCCGCCCCCCACAGAGGTGGCGGACGGTCCCGCCGCCGAAATACCGCCGCCCCCCAAATTGTAGTGCCCTAGGCGCCTAATGGGTTGCGCTGGCCCTGGTCTGGATACTCTTATCTTGGTTTAGTTTAAGTCAGTTAACAGCAGCTTTAAACTGCAATACGTTACAGTTAAACTGAACTGTGTGTGCTCACAGTATAATTAACTCATGCAAATCTGTGTAGAGAGGCCTAACCCCACCCCACCAGTGTCCAGTTAATGGACAATAACAATAATAGTGACTTTTAAAGGACACATTTAGAATGTAGTATAAAATTTGACTAAACTGCTCTTAAAAAACTAAAATTCAGCTTTTGAGTAAAAGGATTTTATATAATTAGGCATCACACTATACCAGATTTAAACAAAACCCGTTTAAAATTTAAGGGCTGAATGTATTAGGTGAAATGAAACAGCAAAATAATTTGTATAGGAACCATAAAAACACGGTGCAGTGTTTATTTAAAGTTTTTATAAAGCACAAATATTACCCTATTTGGTATCAGAACGTGAAGAATAATGTGATAGTGCAGGGCATATATGAACAATCTTCTTTAAAAGAGATTGTCTTGCAAAAAAGTCACTACCAACAGATGTATTTATTTATTCAGCCCCTTTTATTTTGTTATGTAACGTCTTCCAACTTCGGAAATAAGCACTTACCTGCTGTGCCAGTATCTGTAATGATTTTTTTAAAAAAGAAAGCTGGCAAAAATACCGCGAACAAATAAGGTTCTACCGAGATTTGAACTCGGATCGCTGGATTCAAAGTCCAGAGTGCTAACCATTACACCATAGAACCAGATGGTGGCAGCAGTCTCTGTTCTACTGGCTAATAACAATTATTGGCTCATTGTGCAAATCTGTGTCACGTTTTGCTCCCATTCGTTAAAACAGAGGTTCTTTGCGAGAAAATGTATCTGACTAAGTATAGACTTTATTCTTCGCTAAATCTCACTCCTCCTCACCTGTACAATATGTTGGTTGCACTGATCAGTCTCTCTCACACATTCAAGTGGCGAGGAACGTGCCTCAGACTGCAGCTTTGATGGTTAAAAAAAAGGCACAGCTGTCTCCTGTTTTGATACATTGTGCTGGGCATGCAAAAGCAGGTGCCCGCTGCATTGCTGACGCAGCATTTCGAACGGAACGTGCATACCAGCAGCTGACCCGACGCAACCAACCCGCTTCTGATGCTTTAAATAAGATTTGTGGGGCTGTTTCACTGGGTGCTTTTATTATAGACTATTATAGTTCTAGATAACATTGTAAAGCTAAAATGTGAATAACAAAAGATAATTCACAGATAGGCCCAACACAGTTAAAGTTAGATAATAAATACGTCCTTTTGCAATAGTTAGGATTACTTGCATTTCACTATCGAAGGAGCAAATGATTCTTGCCCCATAACTCAGACACACTCCAGAATTCTTCTAGCAACGTTATAATGACCTCACACTACAAGCAATTACTAGCTTTAGCTTACATTTGAAGGTAATAACAAGAATCACAAGAAAATAGATATAGATATGGCTATAAACACCCTGCAGTTTGTTTTGTCCTTTAAATCAAATTTCCTTTCCATTCATTTTCCAGTGACATCCAATACATGTATAATATTCAATGTATAATGTGCTATAACGTGCCTCTTTTTGTCGTTTTAAATATATTTTCCAATTAAATCCACGGTTTTTATATTTACTTGGCAGTAAAGAAAATATAATAAATAAAATATGAAGACTTATAGGTTCCATTGAAATAATATTTATATACTTAATATAAGAGTATATTTATTGGCAATATTTAGTACAGAAACTAAGTCATACAATAAAACCTGGAAAAAAAAGTCTAGGTTCCACCGAGATTTGAACTCGGATCGCTGGATTCAGAGTCCAGAGTGCTAACCATTACACCATGGAACCACCTGACTATAACTTCAGAATTGATCCTATTGAGGTAATATCATGTTTTTTCATAGACAGTTGTGTTATTTTTCCCCTATGTAAAATTCTACATATTAACTACGTCCTGAAGTAATCCAGCAGGATTTACTTCAATAATAAACAAATTCTTTTAAAAAAGAGCCTGGAAATACATAGCATTTCTGTACTGCTTTCCTAGGGCTGACACTGATGCCTTTTTTTTTTTTTTAAAATTCAGCAGATTGCAAAATGTATAAGAAATTCCATCGAAAAGTAGGCAATTTTGCACGATTTGCTTTAAATTATGAGTTTTACATTTTTGCCTACGTGTTGCGTTTTAGTCCACATTATTTATGCTTATTTTTTTCCCTTCTGTGCAGTTTAGCTGGACATATTTAATGTTGCAGTTTTGCTTGCCAAGTAGCAGTTTTGCTATATGTTACCTGTAGCATTTTACAATCCATTAGGCGTTCCATGTTGTATTATGTATTGTAAGTGGCTTCTAAAGATTTCCCTCATCCCCCCTCCCATTTTATTAATACTGTTGATATTGTAGATTTTCTTTAGTAACCTAATTTCAGTAAGAAAAAAAAAACACTTTGGAAAAATCACAAACTGAATAATAAATTACTTACCCCACAATCTCTTTGGAATTATTCCTAATTAAGGTACCCAATCTTCAACCAGATGTGGGAGGGGGAGGAATCCTGCAAGATGCAGCTCTTTGGGATCCATGTTTCAGAGCAGATCCAATGACAAGATCAGAGCTTACCAGAGCCAATCCTCACAGCTGCTCTCTAGTCTCATTAACTTCAGCCTCTTGCAGGATCAGACTCTAAAATAAAAGAATGTAAGTCAAATAACGAGTATTAATCATAATAAATTATTGGCAGTAAACATGTAGAATCAGAGTGAATAGTTGTGAATAATAACCCATGCCGCAGTTTACTATGATAAAGAGAAAAATAAAAGATTAAACAATAACACTGAAACATTAGTCTGGCTATCTGTTTTGTTTGTTGGTTTTTATTCTGTTTTTTCAATGCTTAACACAATAGATCATCCGTAAAGCCTCTGTGTGCAACGAACTACCATTAGTACTCATCATAATTAATCATAGGCTCTTTGTGCATTATTATTTATTATTATTATTATAGCTGAAGTAATGGCCCATGAAGTACTGTTGT